GGTCAGCAGAGGGGGGGGGGGGGGGGGGGGGGGCATTTCCCTGAGCGCCTTAGAGATAAGGGGATCAGGAAGGTGCTACCAAGTGGGAGCCAGAAGGGAGGGGGGCGAGGAACGGGGGCACACAGATCCTAGAGAAAGTCATCTCTCTTCAGTCCCTTCCCCAACCTTCCGGACTGATCTAGGCCTCGGACCTTCGTTTGCTGGATAGCAAAGTAGTCATGGGTGATTCGGAGGCCGTCTTGGGCTACCATCCCCATAATTTCCATGGGAGGGAGGGGGATGGTTCTCCTCCCTCGATCGTGGGCGGGGCTACATTTTCTTTCCCAGTCTCGGTTGCACAGCCTGGCCCTTTAAGCTTCCTTCCCTCACTCCTGGGTTTCCATAATCCTGACCTCAAGCTACCCAGGCGCTTGCTTCGGCCCTTCGTGCGGTGCGTGCCTTGCTGGAGGATTCGCCATGGCCGATCCTATTAGCCACTGAGCTCATCCCCTCCGTGCAGCCCCAGTTTCCACCTCCCCCAAACCACGCTGTTCTCTATCTTGTGCCTTTCTGTCCCTGGAATGTCCTACCTTCTCCAAGCTAAAATTTCTGCCCCTATAGCAGAAGGACAGAAGGATAGAAGAAAGGAACAGAGGAAAGTAGGGATCCAGACCCCCACCTCAGCTCTCTCTGCTCCCCTCCCTGAAGGGGTGATGGGGGGAACCGTGCAGACAACTCTAGATTACTTTCTTTGGATTTAGCAACCAGATGAAAAGGAAAGGTTCTACAGCAGCAGTGTGGCATTCAAGGGGAAGACTCCCCCATCATCCTCCCAAAGAGGGGGTTCTCTGACAGAACAAGGGGGAGAAGGATGCTTTGCAAACTAGAACTACAGATGCTGCTGCAGACTCGAAATGCAGCTGGACCTGGCATAGGTCTCTAAAATGTTGGTCAATGACCTTCTTTGAGATGCTAATAAAAGGTGTAGACTCTGCCCAGGAAAAAAAAATGCACACACGTCACATTTTGCATGTAATTCCTGAGAGGTCATAGACTCCTGAAGCCTGATGAGTACTGTTGAGACTGTTTTTAGTTCCCAAAGCTGTGTAGACTGATGGGAAGAGTGTGACTGACAAGTGAGAGGCACTGAGAGCATAACGGGAATCCCGGCTCCCGCAGTCCTGGCTTTGAGAGACTGTCTGTTTAAATCAACTAAAATTTATTGAGACCAACAAGCCAACAGTAACTTTCATGTTTCTTTTATAACTGGGGTATATAGTACTATTGACAGAGAAAAAAGTATTTTGCTATCTCAAATGTCTGTGGTGGATGAATAGCTCACAGTTATATATTGTTTAGAGAATAGTAAACTGGTTCATCAAATTAAAATTCACTAATATTTTCTAGAGAGTAATATACTAGTAATGAGAATAATTAATACTATTTCTTTTTGTTGTTGTTGTTAAATCCTCACCCAAGAATATTTTTCCATTGATTTTTAGAGAGAGTGGAAGGGAGGGGGAGAGACAGAGAGAGAAACATCGATGAGACACATCGATTGAATGCCTCCCACAGGAGCCCCCAACCAGGGCCAGGGATTGAGCCTGCAACCAAGGTACATACCCTTGACCAGAATCAAACCTGAGACCCTTCAGTCCACAGGCCGACACTCTATCCACTGAGCAAAACCAGCTAGGACAATACTATTTCTTTTTGCCAAAAAAATCCTGCAATGTGAGCAAAAGAAAAGCCACTTATGTAAAAGTTTTTAATAATAATTTAGTGATATAACTTACATACCCCAAAATTCACTGTTTTACAGTGTACAGTTCAGTGTTCTATATATGCACAGGAATGTGCAACCATCACTACTATCTAATTTCAGAACATTTTCATCACCCAAAAAAGAAATTCTATACCCTTCAGCAGTCACTCTTTCCTTGCGGCAATCCTCCTTCCTTCCAGTCCCTGGCAACCACAAATCTACTTCCTGTGTATGGATTTGCCTACTATGGTCATTTCTTATAAGTGAAATCATACAATATGTGGCCTTTTGTAAACTGGCTTCTTTCACTTAACATAATGTTTTCAAGGTTCATCCATGTTGTAGCATGTATCAACACTTCATTCCTTTTTCTTGATGAATACTATTCCATTATATGGATATACCATGTTTTATTTATTAATTTACTAGAGGCCTGGTGCACAAAAATTTGTGCACTGGGGGGAGGGGGGTCCCCTCAGCCCGGCCTGTGCCCTCTCGCAGTCTGGGACCCCTCGGGGGATGACCACCTGCTGGCTTAGGCCTGCTCCCCGGGGTATTGGGCCTAAGCTGGCAATCAGACATCTCTCTGGCAGCCCAGCAGCCCTCGGGGGATGGCCACTTGCCAGCGGGGAGCAGACCTAAGCTGCAGTCAGACATCCTTAGCACTGCTGAGGAGGCAGGAGAGGCTCCCACCACCAAAGCTGTACTGGCAACCATCAGCCTGGCTTGTGGCTGAGCAGAGCTCCCCCATGTGGGAGCACACTGACCACCAGAGGGCAGCTCCTGCATTGAGCGTCTTCCCCCTGGTGGTCAGTGTGTGTCATAGTGACTAGTCATTCCCAGTTGTTCTGCTGTTAGGGTCAGTTTGCATATTACCCTTTTACTACATAGGATAGAGGCCTGGTGCATGGGTGGGGGTCCCCACTGGGGTGCCTGGCCAGTCTGGGTGAGGGGCTGAGGGCCGTTTTCAGGCTGGCGGGCGACTGAAGCTCCCAGCCTCTTTTTTTCTTTTTTCTTTTTTATTCTGGGATTTATTTACCTTCTATAATTGAAACTTTGTTGTCATCCTGCTCGCTCCAGCTCTGAGGCCACGGTCTGCTTAAAGTAGGTACCTGGGGGTTTGTTTAGCTTCTATAATTGAAACTTTGTTGCTTTCAGAGCTGTTGCTTTCGGAGCTCAGAGCTGGGCCGCGGCAGGCAGGGAACCTTGGCTTCCTCCATCACTGGAGCAAGCAAGCCTCCTGCTCACTTCAGCTGCATGGCTGCCGGCCGCCATCTTGGTTGGCGGTTAATTTGCATATCGCCCTGATTAGCCAATGGGAAGCATATCGAAGGTACGGTCAATTACCCTTTTTGTCTTTTATTAGATAGGATTAGTTAATGGACATCTGAGTGGTTTCCACTTTCTAGCTATTATGAAAAATGCTGCTATGAATATTTGTGTACACGTTTTTGCATGGATATATGTTTTCAGTTCTCTTGGTTGTGATATTTCTGGGTCATATGGTAACTGTTTGTTTAACATTCTGAGGAACTGTCAAACTATTTTCCAAAGTGGCTATATCAAAGTTCCAATTTTTTTCACAATCCTTGTTATTGTCTGTCTTTTTTATTATAGCCCTCCTAGTAGGTGAAAATTATCTCACTGTGGTTTTGAGTTTTAGTTTCTCTAATGCCCAATGATGTTGAGCATCTTTTCATGTGATTATTAGCCATTTGT